TGGCTTCAGGCAATGGGTTTTTATCTCGCATTTGCTCTTGTTAACACTACTGGCTTTAGGTTTTGTGTATGTGGTAGGTAATTTTCAAACGTGAGACTGAAGTACAAAGTGCCTATTTGGCTGTACATAGGAGGAGCTACTGTGTGGCAGCACTGCAGGCAAGGGAGGGCTTCCGTGAAAGTGAAACTAAACTGATGCACAACAATCTGAAAGCTTTTAAGCTTTTTAATAAATAATATAGCCTAATTCTTAGACATTCAAAGACGTATGTGAACACAGCTGATACTCACTCACATTTAGCCTACGTGATGTCAGAGACATTTATTTAAACACGTTTATGATTCAGCAGAGTGAGTGTATGTCTAACTAAAATAAACTATGCTAAACCAGGTTAAAGCACGAGTTAAGCACTCAACTAGTTTAGTTGTGTACATTGAAAAAATATGCCAGAATTGTAGCAACTGGTTGTGCTGTTAGAGTTGTAAAACTAACTTTAGTCTGTGACTGTAACGCGTTAAGAAACAGTAAGTTTGTGAACCACAGAACACGGTGACAACTGTTCGCCATGGATTAATATGCCATTCCAAATAATTACATATAATCAACTGAATTGAATTCATCTACATTTTAGAAATGCAAAACATTTAATTAGACCATTTAACTCTGCTGTATTCAAGAGTTTTCACATTCAAAATGTGATGGCTTTTCAGGTTAAATCCACAGTAAATAAAATACATTTAGGCTAGACGTGTTATATGGAGTCTGGCACCAAAATACACAAATTTGGCTTTCATTCGCAGTTGATCAAGCTTTAAAATATTACGTTGGCTTGATTTGAGAAAATTTAAGGTAAAGTGATGAACAGATTTCATGTTTTGAAACGTTTTGTGACCTTTGTGCAGACATAAAGAGAAGAAGTAGTAGTGGGAGAATCTTTACCAACATCACCAAGACAACCCCACGCCACTGGAGATAACGAATGGATAAAGCTCAATGTAAGTAAATAACCAACAATGTCTGGCGCATTCTTAAACTTAAAAGGTTAGTTCACCCAAAAATGAAAATTCTGTCATTAATCACTCACCCTCATGTCGTTCTAAACCCGTAAGACCTCCGTTCATCTTCAGAACACAAATTAAAATTTTCAAAATTCACAAATTGAATTTTGAGAGCTCTCTGACCCTCCCATAGACAGCGATGCAATTACCACGATCAAGGTCCAGAAACGTAGCAAGGAGATCGGTAAAATAATCCATGTGACATCAGGGGTTCAACCGTAATTTTACGAAGCTACGAGAATACTTTTTGTACGCAAAGAAAACAAAAATAACGACTTTATTCAACAATTCGTTTTCGTTCAAATCAAAGCGTAAACAACATAGAAAATGTATCCGAGTGACGCAGCTGACACAGAATAGCATATGCTGTTTACGTTCAGTGGATATTCTCCAAAATGGCACCAGGGTGACGCGGAGGAGACGAATTGTTGAATAAAGTCGTTATTTTTGTTTTCTAAACTATAAGGTAATATTAACACACAGACAAGGCATATAACAGAGGAAAGTAAAGCAAACTATTTATTTTTATGAATAATAAACGTCTTCAAAACTTCAACGCAAGGCCCATTTACAACATGCATCCGAAAATTAATCGAAACATCCACAAAAAAAGTTATATACTATAAAGTATGTCAACAAATTCAAGCTTCAATATAAGATAATAAAGCCACCCAGCAAGCAATTGCCGTCATTTCACCGTCTTGGTTAACTATAGACCCGATATAGTCCAGCTATGTGTAACCCACTTCTACCTCAAATAACCTTGAATTTAGTTAAATGTCGTTTTTTGGCAAAATAACTTGTGAGATGTATGATATTTCATCATGTAAGCAAAGTCAACAGCGTTTACAAGGTGTTTGGTTTCATTTCTTTGACATGTTCAATACGTAGCCTGTGTGTAGCCACAATTTAGTTCATAGTCAGAGCAGCTATTGGTTCACTATAGTTTTTGGTCAGGCAGCACATGAGATGGTGATATCCCATGTTCGCAGTGTCAATAATATCTACAAAGATACCGCCCACGGTCTGCAGCCAGTCCCATCTTGGATTGTAGGACTACCTGAATCACACTACACAACAAAGTTTTGTCCTCTGTCGTCTTGTCATAGCTACGCGGACACAACACAATGCTACACAAACTACAAAAAATCCAGTTAAGAGGCAATCCCGACCATCAGCAAAAATACATTCTTTTTTTTTTTTTACATAAATCCTCAGAAATTACAGTGATTAGGACATTTCTTTAATTTGCAGTTCAAAACTGTGCACTTAGACTATTTTATCTGAAAAATAAATAAACATGAAAAAGAGAATGTGCCAGAAACATTAGGAATATGTGGACTACAAGGGCAGTCTGTACTGCAGAAAATCATGCAATGTAAAATATACACAATATATGCATTTGTTACATTTATTTCTTGTTAGTTGATTTGATTAATCTGTGGCTTTTCGTAAAGACACTAGCTATTTTGATCTACCTTGAACTTTGATCTACCTTTTTCCGTTTATCTGCACTGTGATTGGCTGTCATTGCGCTCACACTACATATCACGTGGCGATAATGTCAAACTGGAAATTTTGTAGCGTTTGACACGGTGTGTTCCAAACGGGATATATTGCCCTCTGAAGGGCACTTCAGAGTGAAAACAATCATGGCCGCCATATTGAAGGGGCGTTCTAAACCGAAGTGCTCAAAACTGGCCACTTCAAAGGGCCCTTCGGAATGAAGGATTTCGAAGGGTACAACTGATGGACACTTCGGCCTCCCATGATCCTTTGCGCTGATTCTTTGCATGATGATGGTGCCTCCGTGTGGGCACGTGATGATTTTCCATACAAAGGGCATTTAAGTGTGCGAGACGTGAATTTAAATTGTATTTATTTACAGAGGTATATTATGTCCCACTTCACGCTTCTCTAGTAAGTTTTCGTATGTGTGTGAAGACGCAAATCTGTAAATTAATATTCCGAAGTGAAGTAAATTTCAACGGATTTCCCCTGCTTAGGGAGTAGGGAGCAATGGACACTGTGTAGGGACCATGTCAATTGGAATTGGAATTGAGAACCGCAGTCCTACACCCTTCAACCCTTCGAAGCTCTCACTCCGGAGGGTAAACCCTCTGAAGGGATTAGGGCATAGGGATGAGCCCTTCCGAACGCAGGGCAATTCTCGAGACAGGTGCTGATCACATTGCTGACCTCCTGCTCAGTGTTGCCAAGTCCGCGGCTTTCCCGCGGAATTGGGCTACTTTATCACTGTTGCCGACAGTTGTTTTTCATGTCTGCGGGTTAAAGCGACCCTGATAACGTGATATTTATCCCCTGGAGTGCGAATTTTACCAGGGGAACCCCGCCAAAAATGTGTATTTTACCCCCCAGAATGCGATTTTTAATGGGGAGACCCCCTGGAAATGCCATTGGGTTAGTTTTGAGTAGCAATTGGGCGGATTTTGTTGTGAAAACCTGGCAACCCTGCTCCTGCTCAATGAGCAGTGCTCATTCTTAAGGAGCTTCTGCGACCGCAACGAGCACTCATTTGGTTGAGATCCGGGAGTTTTGTCGTCGCAGACCTTGGAAATCCATCTGTGACAGCAAAATCCAGCCAAAAGATCTGCAGTTTGAGCTTGCCATAAACTGCCTCAGAAGTCATTGCCTGATAGCAGCAAGGCAAGTTGGCTGAGTTTTTGGATGCAGCCAAAATTAGCCAAGCACCGGAAATATGATAATCAGATCTTGAGTGTATGTCAGATTTGACAGACAAACAAACTGCCTTTTACAACGGGCATAACGTTGGCTTGAAGTTGGACGTTCGATATTCGCAAATTTAGGGACCGTCTCTAAAGTTACATGCGATATTGGTATACACTTTTCTAACTTCAATAGCATTTGAGGAGAATGACTTACAGTCATAAAAACAACTGTAAACTGTTAATCTAGGTGTCAACTATCATGCACACCTTTTACATTTTTGATATTTATTAAAATAAACTGTAAATCTTATGTAAATTATGGTACTTTTTCACAACCGAATGGGCTCAAATGCAAATTTAAAGCTCAATAGCATTTGAGGAGAATGACTTCCAGTCATAAAACAAACTGCAAAGTGTTCATCTAGGTGTCAACTATAATGCACACCTTTTACATTTTTTGATATTTATTAAAATAAAGTGTAAATCATATGTAAAAAATGCTACTTTTTCACAACCGAATGGGCTCAAATGCAAATTTAAGGCTCAATAGGCTCAAATGCTATTGAGCTTTAAATTTGCGTTTGAGCCCATTCGGTTGAGAAAAAGTAGCATTTTTTTTAAACATATGATTTACAGTAGATTTTAATAAATATCAAAAATGTAAAAGGTGTGCATTATAGTTGACACCTAGATGAACAGATTACAGTTGTTTTTATGACTGTAAGTCATTCTCAAATGCTATTGAGCTTTAAATTATGGTATATTTTGCATTTGAGCCCATTCGGTTGTGAAAAAGTAGCAATTTTACATATGATTTACAGTTTATTTTAATAAATATCAAAAAATGTTAAAGGTGTGCATTATAGTTGACACCTACATGAACACTTTACAGTTGTTTTTATGACTATAAGTCATTCTCCTCAAACGCTATTAACGTTAGAAAAGTGTTGCATGTAACTTTAGAGACGGTCCCTAAATTTGCGAATATCGAACGTCTAATGTCAAGCCAACTTTATGCCAGTCCTATACACATTTGTCTTGCCGTACAAATGGGCGCCGGTCTCAACCACGTCCAGCTATTGGTGTGTCTTACCATATTATTTTAATGTATTATCTTAATTATGAACACACTGGTTTGTAGTGCAAACAGTTTTACCGTTTACTGCACGTTATAATTCTTCTCGTTATTTTCCGATAGCGGCTAATGAACCAGAAGTCTCGCGCATAGGCTTACTTCCGCGTTGGAGGAACTTCTGTTAAAGTGAAACTAAATGAACAACAATCTGGGTTGGTTTTAAGGTTTTTAATAAAGAATAAGCTTATGTATTTATATGACGTGCCAAGACGAATGTGAACACAGCTGATACTCAGATGTACGTGATGGACATGCAAGAGAAATTTAAACAAGTAGCCTATGTGAATAAGCGTCTATGTCTAACTAAAACTAGGCAAAATCAGGTTAAAGCACTGTAGCAACTAGTTTATTCGACTAGTTTAGTTGTGTACTATGAAAATGTCTCAGATTTTTGGCAAAAAATGGTCGTTAGGGTTGTAAAACACCTAACAACACAATTGTTATTTATGCCATTGTATTGCTGTATTCAAGAAAGAGTGAATCTCTTTCACATCCAAGAATTGAATTTGTATTGTAGCAGTTTTGGTATTAATATATTAATTCATAGTAGTATAAAAAATATTTGCAGACGTGTTAGAGACTGTGATGAACAGATTTCATCCTGTGAAATAAAAACATGTTATGACCTTTTCCTGCAAAGACAAAGAGAAGAAGAGCAATGGCAGAATTTTTACCAACTTCACCAAGTCAAACCAGGAGACAACGTATGGATAAACCTCCATGTAAGTCAATAACCAAGATAATAATAATAGCAACAATAACAACTTTAATTGTTAGTTTCAAGGTTATATATTGAACATCTTTTAGCTTGGGCGCCTTGTTTTAGAACATATTTTGCACAAAACTCAACAAGAGCTGTGAGCACAATTGTAAAAGATGCATGTTTACATTGAAAAATAATGGAATAGTAGACCTAACACAGAATGCGTTCTGTGAGAACGGCCCCCATTTCTTCTTTGACCCTTTTTAGAGCTATTTTGATTGGCGGAGGCTCTGGGTGGCGCAAAATAGATACATTAACTTACTACACTTTATCTAAAATGCAAGTTACTTAATATTAATTTCCTGTTCACTGATCTGTTGTATAAAATTGATTCCGTTGGTTTTAATGTAAGCTCAGTGGTGACAGATATTCGGAACTGACTGATATTTGGAACAACAATATTGACTGTGTGATATCGCTTACATTTTTGTGTAGACATAAACTGCAGGTGATACATTTTTTTATTATTTCTTTCCTTATCAGCTATGTCCTCCTCCAGTGGTCCTCTGGCTGAGGAGCTTCAGTGTTCAGTGTGTCTGGAAGTGTTCACTGATCCAGTCAGCACTCCATGTGGACACAACTTCTGTAAGAGCTGCTTGAACCAGTGCTGGGACAACAGTCAGAAGTGCTACTGTCCATTCTGTAAAGAAACATTCAGTAAAAAGACCCGACCTCAAGATCAACACTTAGAAAGGTTGTGCAGCTCTTTCAGAAAAAGTTCAGTCTGAGTAAATCTGAAGTTCTCTGTGACATCTGTGATGAAAGAAGGCTGAAAGCCCTGAAATCCTGTCTGCTGTGTCAGGCATCTTACTGTAAAACTCACCTGGATCTTCATCAGAGAGTCCTGAGCTTAAAGAAACACAAACTGATGGACCCTGTGAAGAATATGAAGGACTATATATGCCAGAAACACGAGAGACCTCTGGAGCTGTTCTGTAGAGATGATCAGACGTATGTGTGTGTGTTTTGCACTGATGGAGACCACAAGACTCACAACACTGTTCCTCTAGAGGAGGAGAGTAAAGAGAAGAAGGCACGAGTTCCTAACAATACAATAAACTTACTTCAATAATCTGGTTTTAAATATTCCAACAATATCTTTTGTCAGAAATGGAAAATACATGTTAAGAAAAGTGATAAAATGTGTCATGATAAAATATAAAATATGTTCATGTCTGTCTATAGGCTGAACACTGATGTGAGTGTGGAGACTCTGAGGAGAGCTCTGACTCAACTGCAGGAAACTTTAGACCAGAAACTCAGTCAAACTGGTAGGTCAATATCAAATACAGCACACACTTTCTTTTGGCAGTTACTGTGTTTTGCAAGGAAATTAATATTTAAAAAGTGAAAATTAAAATATCTGCCTATCAAACAATTAAGAAATCTGAACAATCAAGCAATAATCTAACAATATTAACGTCAATATATTTCAGTATCAAAATAGAAGCAAGTACTGGTAATAAGATATAATTTAAAAAAATTCTTTCTTTGTTGTCATGTTAAATATTTTTGCCAAAATATTTTATCAAATTATTTTTTAAAATGTATGTAAATATATTGCTGTGTATGCAGTTTAAAACAAATATAATTTGTAAAAACATGGTGTGATGTCTTGCATTAATAATCGTGGTAATCTTCCACAAAAGGAACACTTGTTTGTGTTTGTGTGTGTGTGAGTGATGCTACGGTGAGATAAACGCTCAAAGATGACGACGATTGATGCAAACAGTCTTTTAATAAAGCCACACGAGGATAAATCACAGGACGGACAGGCAGGATGCACACGTAGGAACCAAGAAGACCGGACAAAAACAGACTGCACAGACTAGGGCTTAAGTACATTGGTAAACGAGGATAATAGACAAGACACACCTGAACTAAATGACATAATCAAAGGGAGACAGAAACTAGGTCACACAGAGCACATGAAGGATGAAAACAACAAAAACAGCCAAGGGGTGTGTGGGTGTGTGTGTGTGAAACATACAAGTAGCCTATAGTAAAACCAGTAAATTTTGACCTTGTTGGGACATCTCTTGGTCCCCATGAGGAAACAAGCCTATCGATCATACAGGGGTGTGTTTCCCTAAAGCATCGTTACCCAACTATGGTCACAAGTTCTGTCGTTACCAACATAGTTCAACGATTTGGTGTTTCCCAAAACTATAGTTCAAACAAACATTCGCAAACAGCGTTGCAAACTTACATGGTTGGAACTACAGCTCTCAACCTGTGGTTAGAAGTATAGTTTCTTTTTAGCAAGGGATATGGGCTTAAATAAATGTTCTTGGACACAATAAGCAAGCTAACATGCAGTACAATCTAAATATAAATACATTTTAATCTATGTATTTTTGCGTGTCCTCAAGCGCCATTTTTTAAGAGTGCATATGTGCATAAATGCCTAATGGAACCCCCGGTTATGACATAAGAGGGAACCCACGATGAATCAAACATCAAATAAAGCAAAATGACAGGGAACAAAAAAAAAAAATCAGGTGCCATGTTCAATACAGCAGTATCTTAAGAGTTCACGAGTTCGCAGTAACGTATAATATGATTGAGCAATTAGTAGCATATTTGGCGTGCTGTCCAGATGGAGGGCTCCGAGCTCGGGATAGAGCCCGAACCCAGAGAACTCCCCAAAAGAAGCTAATGGCATGAGACAGCAGCCAGAGAGAAAATTGTTAGTAGCCCCCCAAAAATATGCGTGCCGTGAAGATAAAGTAGGGTGTGCGAGGAGGCGGCAGGGCGACTAGGAGGGGTCATGCGGTGCTTGACAGTAGCTGCGGCTCGCCACGTTGGATGGCAACCCCTACCTGCCACCAAATAAGGAGCACGATGGAAGGCCAGGTGAGGGACTCACTGCGTCCGAAGAGAGCTGCGGCTCTGCTGCACCGGAAGGGAGAGCCCTGTCCAATGCAGAAAAAGCAAATGGGGCTCAAAACGACAGATGGAAGCACTGCGGCGGTAGCATCAAATTAAGCAGGCACTGCGGTGGCAGTATCAAATGAGCAGGGCACTGCGGCGGCAGTTTCAAATTAAGCAAGCACTGCAGCGGCAGTATCAAATGAGCGGGGTACTGCAGCGGCAGTATCAAATGAGCGGGGCACTGCGGCGGCAGTATCAAATGAGCGGGGCACTGCGGTGGCAGTATCAAATGAGCGGGGCACTGCGGCGGCAGTATAAATTAAGCAGGGCACTGCAGCGGCAGTAACAAATGAGCGGGGCACTGCGGCGGCAGTATCAAATGAGCGGGCACTGCGGCGGCAGTATAAATTAAGCGGGGCACTGCGGCGGCAGTATCAAATGATACCCACGGCTTTGCATTTGCATTGCAGCATCACATTTCATTTAACTGATCAGAATTAGATGGGATTTCTTAGTGTGAAAATTATTGGTCCTGATATAGCTCTTGAAGGCGTTCGATGACCATCGACCGAGAGCTTGGACCTGCTGCTGTGAGAGGCCTTTTTGAGCTGCTGTAGTTGCTGCCCCGATTCGGAAGGAGTGGCTGGAAAGTCTTTCTGTGGGTATGCATGGTTGGACGATGTTTTTGAACATCGTTTGGATAGATGTTTTTGAAACCAAAAACATGTGATGGGGTGGTTACAGTCGTTGACAAAAAGAGGGTCAAGAGGGGATGTAGACTGAGAGCTTCTGAATTTGAGGTAAGAATAAGGGCCTGATACGGTTGGATTGGTGACGGGAGGTTAAAAGTTTAGACGTGGTGACCTCTTTCCTGATCTGATTTAATTTTGATGAAATAGGAGATAGTTTCGCTGTCGAGCACGGAAAGGTCGGAGACGGTTGGATAGAGTTTGGGGTTGAATAGAGGTTATTGTGAATTCCAAGCATCTCAGGAAACCAAAAAAAGCCAGTATGAACAGTGCATCGAGTGTACAAGCGGTATGAAGTGAGTGGTACCCTGTGCAGAGAATGGGGATACATTTAGAAAGAATGTCTAAAGTTATCGGTTGTCTAGCGTCCAGGCTTGGAGGATGAGAGCACTGAATTCCTTTGATCAAAAAGAAATGTTTGAGAATTGTTTATTTCAGGAGAGGGGGCGCCGTAGATTAATTTGTGAAATAAATTGGATGCCGCTTAGATAACCTTTGATTGACCGGGCTTGGAGGTTCTTACAGGTGTTAAGGTAGGAAACAAAAGATGTGATTGAGAGAGGGGAGAAATCGGGAAATGGCAGGTTGTATGAGAGGTGGAAAGCTTTAAATCATCTCCAAGCAGTTAGATAAGATTGGATGGTTCTGGGTGAAACTGCTTGGAAAATCGAACCGAGTGGAGAGGAGAGGTTTTAAGGGATGTGTTATGGGAACACGAGTTGCGAATAGTGAGGTACTGGGGTTGGCGATGGGTCCGCCTCCAGAGCCAGCGCTCTGAATTTCTGCAAGAATCTGAGATTTGATGGTATTAGGCACAGGGGGTGGTTCCTGAGCTGCAGCATTCGGTGGGGTAGGTAGTGGGACTGCTGTGAATAAAGTGTACTGAGATTTAGATTGGAGAGAAGGATTAGAAGGAAGATAAGGAGGGGCCGTAACCTTTTGCAGAGGCAGCCTCACGCACGGATTAGCCTCTGGTGCTTAGGGAAGCACGTAGGAAGAGGTAGAAGGAAATGAGGGAGGAGGCCAGTAAGCTTGCGTTGCTGGCTGATGATGCCCTGCTTGGATGTCTGCAGCGGGGCCTGCTGGCCATTGATAGGGAAAAGGAGTAGCGGAAGGGTGAGAGTAAGGTGCCTGAGCTTCAGTGGCTAGCGGAGGCAGCCTCACGTTAACGTCTGCCGCCGGAGGTAGAAGGAAGGGAGTGGGAAGGATAGGAGTTTGGGAAGCCATGCCAGCGGGCGACGTTGCGTGCGGCGCTGTAGCTGAAGGCACCGCAGTGATTGGTTGAGAAGAGGAGTGAGGCAATGCAGTGTGAGGAGCAGCCGAGTCTGGGGCGAAAAAAGGGGTCATTAGAAACGGGAGGAAAAGCCTGAGATGTGTGGGCCTGAGTTGCAAGCGGAGGCAGCCTCACGCTTCCTTCAGCTGCTGTGGGCCACAGGAAGGGAGTGGAGTTTGTGACATCCTGAAGAGCCTGTGCAGCCTGCACAGCTAGCAGAGGGAGCCTCACGCTAGCTTCTGCTATGGGAGCTGGAGGCCACTGAAAAGGAAAAGGATTAGAAGAAACAGGAGGAAAAGACTGAGATGTGAGGTCATGTGTTGCAAGCGTAAGCAGCTTTGCACTTGTTTCAGCTGCTGTAGCTGTAGGCCACGGGGGCTTGTGATATTTGGGGGAAAATGCTGGAGAGCCTGTGCAGCCTGCACAGCTAGCAGAGGCAGCCTCACGCGAGTGTGTGCTACGGGAGCTGGAGACCACTGAAAAGGAGGAGAGGTTAGAAGTAGCAGGAGAATGACTTTGACATTTAAAAAGTGATAAAATTATGAAAAGACATGCTTTTCCTCTTAACCACACATGTAGTAGTAAGTATTGAAACAGCTAGCTAGCCAAGCAGCACATCAGCTGGTAGAGACTTGGAGAGAGGTGCCTAAGAGTATGCACAACGCATGCGAATTAGGTTGCTAGTTGTACTTGTTCAATAATAATAATAATAATAATAATAATTTCTTTATGATACACCTTAGTTGATAGTATGCACCTATAATTGTACACAGTTTAACTAATTTTCACGAAAATCAATCTTTTTCCATCTTATCGGTCTATCTGAGTACATGTGTAATTTAAAATATAGGTAAAATGCTAGTGAAAATTAATACAGAAAATGTGAGTAATTTCATTGCGTGTTCTATGCAGTTTTGAGTCATGGTTACAAAAATGACATCAACATCCATAATGTCATCACATCGTTTAACCCTCAATCCGTCCTTGGGGTCAATATGACCCCAATCAACTTTTACCTAGTTAAAAAAAAAAAAAAAAAAAGGTTCCCTTCATCTCAGTGGAATAAGATTGTGACTTTTCTACATTTTCTATTTATATTCACATAAAAAAAACTGGGGTTGCTTCGGTTGTTCTGAAGGTATGTAAAAAATGTTTTTACTAATCTGGTATTTGGGGTCAATAAGACCCCACATTGAAATTAATGGGAAATGCGAAAAAAAATCTATATATATTTTTTTTCCATTTGTCAAAAAAATTAAAATAAATAAATCTATAAATCTGGCATAAATCTAAAAATTTCCACACAGAAATGAAGGCCTGGTACTAGAGCACAAATGGAATGTAGAAAAGACATGCTCACTCACATGCACACGCGCACACACACAAACATGTGTGACTGCAACAGAGAGCATTTTTACAGAAATTGGCAAATAAAATACAGTGGTGTGAAAAAGTGTTGGCCCCCTTCCTGATTTCTTATTTTTTTGCATGTTTGTCACACTTTAATGTTTCAGATCATCAAACAAATTTAAATTACACAAAGATAATGCAAGTAAATACAAAATGCAGTTTTTAAATGATGATTTCATTGCAGTTGTTGCTGCAAAGCGTGGCACAACCAGTTATTAGATTTAGGGGGCAATTACTTTTTCACGTAGGGCTAGGCAGGTTTGGACAGCTTTTTTCCCTTAATAAAATAAATAATTATTTAAAAACTGCATTTTGTATTTACTTGCATTATCTTTGTGTAATATAAAAATTTGTTTGATCTGAATCTTTTAAGTGTGACAAATGCAAAAAATGTAAAAAACAGGAAGGGGGCCAACACTTTTTCACACCACTATAAATAAATCCTGCATAAATCTGAAAATGGCCACACAAAAACGAAGGCCTGATACTAGAGCACAAATGCAATGTAGAACGAGCATACTCACTCACACGTGCGCGCACTCAAACACACACACACTTATTGCAGTTGTTTGTTTTGTTTTGTTTTTTTTGGGGGGGGGGGGGGGTTTTTAATTTACATTTAAGAAATAATTGTTTTGATTTTACTTTTTAGATTGAAAAAAAAAGGTGACAATATTTTATGAAAAAAAAAGTTTTAGTGACAACTTGTGGCATTTCTGCAAATTTATGTGGCATTATTGCAAAAGCGGGCACTTCAAAATACCTCAAACAACAAAAACAAATTCTAACCTCTGAGAAAAATACTGTTCGTAATGTATTTTATAATGTTTCAGTAATATTTACAAAATATATATCAGAAAAGTTGTGAGAGTAGCAGTTAACCACTTCCAGAACCGGGTTCGATTACCAGGGAACACACATACTGGTAAAAAAAAAAATTATAGCCTGAATGCACTACAAGTTGCTTTGGATAAAATATAAAAGCGTCTGCTAAATGCATAAATTATCAAATTAAATTATTATTATTATTAATTAATTATTAAATTCTATGGGCCTCTGCTGGAGATATATGGTCATAACACGTTTTTTTTTTTTTTTTTCAAAAACTGTTAATTTCTACAAGTTTTTCTCTATCCAGCAGATGGCATATATCTACACCTAACACCTAGATCAATATCCAGAAACAACTTAAATCAAATTTAGATCATAATTTAAGTGATTTTTTCTTGAAAATGTAATATTTAACATGCAAGCTAATGGTGTAGTTGAGGATTTTTGTGGTAAATGGGTACAAACGTACTTCATATCTCCCAAAACACAGCTCTAATGTATAGATGAGAAGTAAACAAAAATGATATATTATTTGTATGATTAAAAAATGTATATATTTTTTACAATTACTCTTTACATTTTGGGGTCATATTGACCCCAAATACCATTAGTGTAAACAGGAAATGAGAACCATAGGAGGGTTAACAACTTAACAACAAACGACCTACCTTTAGCGACTTTACCTAAAAATTTAATTGCAACACGGCCTCGCCGCTAGTGGAGGCAGCCTCGCGCTAGCGACTGCTACGAGAGCTGGAGGCCCGGCTACATGTGGCGCTGCGGCTGTAAGCCGCGATGAAAAGTTGAGCCGAAGCGGGAAGCGAATGAGGTTTTTAATTTACATTTAAGAAATAATTGTTTTGATTTTACTTTTTAGATTGAAAAAAAAAGGTGACAATATTTTATGAAAAAAAAAGTTTTAGTGACAACTTGTGGCATTTCTGCAAATTTATGTGGCATTATTGCAAAAGCGGGCACTTCAAAATACCTCAAACAACAAAAACAAATTCTAACCTCTGAGAAAAATACTGTTCGTAATGTATTTTATAATGTTTCAGTAATATTTACAAAATATATATCAGAAAAGTTGTGAGAGTAGCAGTTAACCACTTCCAGAACCGGGTTCGATTACCAGGGAACACACATACTGGTAAAAAAAAAAATTATAGCCTGAATGCACTACAAGTTGCTTTGGATAAAATATAAAAGCGTCTGCTAAATGCATAAATTATCAAATTAAATTATTATTATTATTAATTAATTATTAAATTCTATGGGCCTCTGCTGGAGATATATGGTCATAACACGTTTTTTTTTTTTTTTTTCAAAAACTGTTAATTTCTACAAGTTTTTCTCTATCCAGCAGATGGCATATATCTACACCTAACACCTAGATCAATATCCAGAAACAACTTAAATCAAATTTAGATCATAATTTAAGTGATTTTTTCTTGAAAATGTAATATTTAACATGCAAGCTAATGGTGTAGTTGAGGATTTTTGTGGTAAATGGGTACAAACGTACTTCATATCTCCCAAAACACAGCTCTAATGTATAGATGAGAAGTAAACAAAAATGATATATTATTTGTATGATTAAAAAATGTATATATTTTTTACAATTACTCTTTACATTTTGGGGTCATATTGACCCCAAATACCATTAGTGTAAACAGGAAATGAGAACCATAGGAGGGTTAACAACTTAACAACAAACGACCTACCTTTAGCGACTTTACCTAAAAATTTAATTGCAACACGGCCTCGCCGCTAGTGGAGGCAGCCTCGCGCTAGCGACTGCTACGAGAGCTGGAGGCCCGGCTACACGCAGTGTTGCATCATGGTTACAAAAACGACATCAACATCTATAATGTCATCACGTCGTTTAACAACTTTTAACAACAAACGACCTACCTTTAGCGACTTTATCTATAAATTTAATTGCAACGGCCTGCGGCGCTAGCGGAGGCAGCCTCGCGCTAGCGACTGCTACGAGAGCTGGAGGCCCGGCTACATGTGGCGCTGCGGCTGTAAGCCGCGATGAAAAGTTGAGCCGAAGCGGGAAGCGAATGAGGTTTTGCAGCGGTGAGAACTGGGGCACGGCCCAGGCTCGTTTGAGGCCTGCCGCTGCGACCCAAAGCTCGAGGAGAGCCGGGTCTTGTGCGGGACGATGGTGGTGTCGAGCGAGGCGAGTTCGAGGCTTTGCTCGATCTATTGGTTGCCTTGGCTAATTTGCAGGGTGAAGAATAGATCATACAGATCAGCATTGTTTGAACCATGAGAATGGTTCGTCAGAATAAATCAGCGTTTGCTTCAGGCTTACATACTATCGACTTTACGATCGGAGGATATATTGGCATGGCCGAATGATACGAGGATGTCGGGGAAGAAGTTGGAAGTCTCGCCGGTGGAGGCGAGGTTAAGCCTCGGTGTTGTGGAGAGCGTGTGGCTGGTCGAGCAGAGCGGCGGCCGCGATGAAGCCTGGTGCTCGGCGGCGGTGACTGGCGGAAAAGGAGTGAGCCTAGGGCCTAGCCCAGATTGCGACAGAGGATACGAAAAATCTTCAGTACAGGTCTCGTCGTAGTACGGAAAAAGTTGAGTCTGTGATATAATGGCCAAAGGAGCAAAACCGAATGCTATAAAACTGTCGTGGAACAGAGGTAAGTTGGCTGTATATATACGTATTGTGCTTGTTAAGGTGATTAGCTGACGAGCTCCACCTGCTTAAGAAAGGTTTCTGATCCAAGCTACCTGATGATGGCAGTAATGCACTGTTAAGTGCGGTTGCCAGTAAAAGAAAGAAGAAGAAGAAGAGCTCCACCTGGGCCAGACTGATTGATTATCTGATCGTGCTCCTCCTGAACCTTGTTAATGAAACATCGTATGTCTAATCAGTTAAATAGCAGAAGTTATTCCTCCACCACATGCGTGTGACGTCATTAACAATGGCTCTATGTTGTTGAACTAATGTGGTTCAAACGACGGAGATGCGGACGTGTTCGGGAAACAGTCGTAACTAGCTAGTTCGTTTCAACAACAATGCATCGTACTATGGCTACTGTCAAGCACCGCAGTGCCCCGCTCATTTGATACTATGGTTAATCAGCGAGTTACGTCGTTGTATGGGAAACGCAACCCAGAATGATCTTTTTGAAAATCTAAAATAGTAGAAAGTTTTCTGTGAGGGGCAGGTTTAGGGTAAAGGCATAGAAAATACAGTTTGTACAGTACAAAAATCATTGTTTATGGAATGTCCCCATAAAACACGTAAACACAATGTGTGTGTGTGTGCACGCGCGCTCGTGCGGCATGTATATTTGTTTAACAGTGTCTAGTGTCAGTGATGTAGATGTCAATGAAACAGCTCCTGTAATACATGAATGTTAAGATCTCTTCATCATATATTATTATTATTATTTGTCTTCACAGTGTTGATGAGGATGCAGCAGTATGCAGGTAGAATGAATGATCTGTTCTCTCACACAGTAAAAATTACACAAACATTCACATACAATACTTCAATGCATACTGAATATTAAATATTAAGCACATGAAGATATACTGTATGTATTGTGAAGATGTGATTCATATTCTCTGATCTCTCTCTCAGTGGATGTGACTCTGGATCCTGATACAGCTCATCCATATGTCATCCTGTCTGATGATGGGAAACAAGTGATACACGGAGACATTAAACAAAAGCTCCCAAACAACCAAAAGAGGTTTGATCACTGCACCTGTGTCCTGGGAAAAGATGGATTCTCCTCAGGGAGATTTTATTTTGAGGTGCAGGTGAATGAAAAGACTAAGTGGGATTTAGGAGTGGCCAAAGAATCTATTAACAGGAAGGGAAAGGTCACTGTGAGTCCTCAGGATGGATTCTGGGTTTTGGGTCTGTGGAATGAGAATGAATATTGGGCTTGTACTGATTCCTATGTCCTACTGTCTCTGAGAGTGAAACCACAGAAGGTGGGGGTGTTTGTGGATTATGAGGAGGGTCTGGTCTCCTTCTATAATGTGGAGTCCAAATCTCATATCTACTCCTTCACTGGTCAGTCTTTCACTGAGAAACTGTATCCTTTATTCAGCCCATGTCGTAATGAAAAAGGTACAAATTCAGCCCCTTTGATTATCTCATCGTTTAATAGCAATGAATGAATTCACACATTTTCATAATTTGGAAAAACATAGATGTAGGGGCATAATGTTATTTGTTCCTTCTGAATTTGTTTATTTTTTAGGACTGCAAAAAGTGAACATATCCACAAAATATTTTTATTTTTCTCTTTACCTGTAAAAGTAAAATTGCATTGTAAATAAAAACAGAACAAATTTAAATAGTATCTGAATGAAGCACTTTAGCTCTTTCTAGAGCTGGATTATGCTGATGTTGCTTGTGAACTCATAATTAAAGTATGAATATGACTATGTATATGCAGGCAAAATGTTGTCTACTGAAACAATTTATAAAAAAAATATAATAACTGAATTATCAGAATTAACACAGTTATATAATCAAATTGTGTGTGTGTGTGTGTGTGTATATATACTAAAAGTAAAACCTAACAAGTTAGTTACTTGAAATAAAATTAAATGTTAACTGAAATCAAATGAAACAAACTTAACTAAAAGATAATAAAAACTACACAGACCATTAAAAAAAAAAATACAAAAAAAGACTAAAACTTTAACTGAAATTAAAATGAAATCAGAAAATATAAATATATATAATTAAAAACTATAAAAGCATCTGAAATAACATTGTCCCAATATATGCTCTTCTTGTGGATACACGCTGTTCTGATGTTTGTAATCTGTGAATTGCGTTTGATATTACAAGTGATATGCTTATAGAATTATGTGGCACTATTTAGAATGAAATCAAATGGTAATTTTCCTCTTCACTCTGATCATCAGATATTTGAGATGCTGGTCAATTCTGGAGATAGCGTCCTCCTCGACGCTCCCACGCAGCTGTATGAAGCACACTTCCCATCATCACCATTTTTTTCCTGCGATCTCTCTCTCTCTCGATCTCGAGCCATTAAATGTAAACATTACCAACGCTTTCATAAACAGCTGCAGCCACTGGGCTGTAACCGCATTAACGGCATGATCCCTGCAGACCTGAGGAAGCTCCTGGAGCGCTGGGACCCAGCAGACGCACAGAAACCGGGAAGCAGCGTCCCGAGAGTCCTGTACACCATCCCGAACGGAGGCAACCCCACCAGAGCGTCCGTGACCTGTGAGAGGAAACAGGAAGTCTATGAGGTGAGCAGAGTTTATTCCTCAGTGCACACATACAGCGGGGAAAATATAAGTATTGAACACGTCACCATTTTTCTCAGTAAATATATTTCAAAAGGTGCTGTTGACATGAAATTTTCACCAGATGTCGGTAATAACCCAAGTAATCCATACATACAAATAAAACAAAACAAATAATTTCAGAAATTAAGTTATGTGAAATAAAATGGAATGACACGGAGTATAAGTATTGAACTACTGAAATATATTTAATGCTTTGTACAAAAGCCTTTGTTGGTAATGACAGCTTCAAGACGCCTCCTTTATGGAGAAACTAGTCAGGTGTGAGTTTGGCCCATTCTTCCACAGAGTCTTCAAATCTTGAAAGGTTCTGTGGGCCTCTTCTATTAACTCTGATCTTTAGTTCGTATTTTCTATTGGATTCAAGTCAGGTGATTGGCTGGGCCATTCTAGCAGCTTTCTTTTCCATTCTTTCTTTCTCAGTATTTCACAGGCTTGTCTAAATTTTGTGCAGCAAGCTTTAAACGAGCTTCAACATGTTTTTTTTTTCAGCAATAGAGCCTTGCTG